TGTATCACTCCTTTTCTAAGATAATATTATGCAATCTGTGGGACCTTTGCTAGATAGGAAAAAAATGAATGTTCAAGATATGCTATCCTATTCCGAGGAACAAAAAGAAATTGCAAGAAAGTGAACAATATTTTTAGGAATGGAGAAAAGCTGCAAGATATCAGCCTCTATCTTATTTGATTATAAAGGGCTGTTTCCCCTGTCCACCCAATCTGATACAAGATTAGAACCTGCTAATGAATCAGACCCAGGATGGTGTGCTCGGATCCTTTGACACCTATTTCACTGATAATTTGTGGCATTTGTGAAAACAAAGGAAGATATTTTAGATCTAGATTTTGGAGTGAAAGCCCTAATCTTTAATTTGTGGAGAAAATTGATGATATTGAAAGTAATTAATTGATTGGTGTTATCTTCATGGATTTGCAAGCTAAAAAGTGGTCTCATTTGCTCCATAGACGAGTCTCTAGTCACCAGACTTTGTAGATTCCATTCCAGGGAGAAGGAGAAGAGATGCTGAAAAAACTGTTGGGATTATATTTTTCCAATTTCCTTTGTGATTCCTTTTTCATCTTTTTTGTTTGTTTCTAGCTGAAACTTTCATTTTTGGTGGTGTTATCTTGCTGGAGCAGCCTAAGCTGGGACTTATCTCCTATATTTCCTGAACCATGTGCTTAGTTCATGTCTTCGAATTATAGTTCCCACATTTTTCTACTTCACCCAAAAGAAAGAAAAAAAAAAATAGAGCTACAATTGAAAAAGGAGAACAGAATTGTTGTTATGGCCCATCATTATGACATTAAGTATTTTGTATATGAAGACTTCATTGTGGAAGCACAACTTGGATTTTCTCGCATTCAAAATTTTAAATTTTGTAAATGGAGCCCTTTGAGTTGTGCCTATGTCTCAATTTAGTGATTTTCTTTTCTTTTTAATAAAACCTCTTTTTCGTTATTTTTAAAATCAGTCATGTTTTATGATTCAATAAAAAATAAAAAAAAAAAATTCATTTATCTGTAGTTGCTCTTATAGCTTGTTCTAAACTGTGACAGTTAAACTAATCTAGTTAAAAAAGTTTAGAAATTAATATGGTAATTGACTTTGAAGTTGGCTTTTAACAGGGCCCTGAAGTCAAGCCTGGATCACTGGAGCAAAATTTCTCACCAGTTGATCAATGCAAAGGATCTCCTGGATTTCGCAGTTTGACAACTAACATGGAAATGGCCAATCAGCTGGATTACAATCAATTTAATCTGCATGTGGACCTTGAGCATCATTATCTTAGTGGATATAATGGTGTTGATGTAAGTGCTCTGTACGCACATCCAATTTCAGGATTTCTACCAAATGTATGCCCACCACCTGCTGCTTTTTTGGGTCCAAAATGTGCACTATGGGATTGTCCTAGGCCTGCTCAAGGATCAGACTGGTGGTTAGATTACTGCAGTAGCTTCCATGCTACTCTTGCATTGAATGAGGGACCTCCTGGAATGTCTCCGGTCTTACGTCCTGGAGGCATTGGCTTGAAGGATGGCTTGCTTTTTGCTGCTTTGAGTGCGAAAGCACAAGGAAAAGATGTTGGCATTCCGGAATGTGAGGGCGCAGCAACTGCAAAGTCCCCTTGGAACGCCCCTGGTAAGTTTCTGTTACTTGCTTATCAACTTTTTACCCCATTTTCCTATGATTGTCATGGTTTCACGTTGTAGAAATCACATTTGCTACTGTAAGATTCAACAAAATTATTTCCCCAAATTATCTTTATTGTCACGCTCTACTTCATTAATGGGCACATTTGTCAATGTTCAACAAAATTGTTCCCCCAAAATACCCTTTTGATCACATTCTACTTTGTTAAAGGTTGATAGCCTTTATTAATCACTAAGAGAGAGAGAGTGTAAATCTTAGTGGGATGGCATATAGTTCCTTTTTTTCTTGGATTTGTTATTATCTTTCCGTTTCCCATTTGCACATTTGTGATGTGTTCATTTAGCGTGTATTTTCCATATTATTGCAGAACTTTTTGATCTATCAGTTCTTGAGGGGGAGACTATTAGGGAGTGGCTCTTCTTTGACAAACCTCGAAGAGCATTTGAGAGTGGAAACAGAAAGCAGAGATCATTACCAGATTACAGTGGCCGAGGGTGGCATGAGTCGAGAAAGCAAGTTATGGATGAGTTCAGTGGGCTGAAAAGATCTTATTATATGGATCCTCAACCACTGAATAACTATGAATGGCATCTCTATGAGTACGAGATCAACAAGTGTGATGTGTGTGCACTGTATAGATTGGAACTCAAGTTGGTGGATCGTAAGAAAACTCCTAGAGGGAAAACAGCAAATGATACTGTTTCTGAGCTCCAAAAGCAGATGGGTAGACTTACTGCTGAGTTTCCGCTTGATAACAGGCGTCCACTTAAAGGAAGGGCTAAGTTTAACAGCAAAGATGGTGTTGGAAATCTCCGCTCTGATCCAAATCAATTGATCAGTGGAGATAAAACATTTGATCATGGAGTTGGCCCGCCATATGGGTATCTTGTGGAGAATATAGGTGATTACTACCTGAAATAGTGTGAGAGAGCAACAATCTCAGACATGTCTAGTTGGCGGGTTTAGTTCATCTACTGACAGTTCCATTTTAGGTTTTGATCGTCTCCAATAACATTGGTGAGATCCTCATTTTTTAAATCTGAGGATCTTGTATATAACTTATCGTGGTTTTTAGCCTAAACGAGTAGACAATGGCTTCTGTCATTGCTGGAGTATATCTGACAAATGAAGAGGGGTTACTTACAGCTTAAAAATCGCTTCTATTTACTTTATAATGAAGGGTATCACATTTGGTAGGGTGGATGTACATTCTAATGCTGGTTTCTAAATGATTTGGAGACTGCTCGTCGTATGCTTTTAATTGTCCTACAAAAATTTATGTATTAGCTGCTGTTGCACTTCATTTTCGTCAATGAGATGAGATACATGTCAACTCTCTATCGTTGTCATCATCTCCCACATCTATGTAAACAACCTATCATGTCATGTATGACAAGAGATCCTTTTATAACAAAGATCTTATCAACTATGTTATTAATTTGTAAAAATACTGATTTTTAACCATATACCCCTGAATTATTTTTTTATTCACTAAATACCCATGAAAATTTTCAAATTTACCATATACATTTGGGTTTCACAAAATGTGACTAACGACAATTAACTCCATTAGTCATTAGGGTTAATTATGCCACGTGACAACATTTAGTTGGTTATTTTTAAAATTATTTATTAATTATTTTTTTTAAAAAAATATAAAAAACCACCTCTAACCCAATCAGCCACCTTCCTCCAACCACCAAAGCCCAGCCTAACACCTCCCCAAAACCGCCCCCCTGCCAGCCTCCCCACCGTGTCGGCGCCGCCCCTCCCCCTAACCCCGCACCAGTGCTCGCCCCATCCCCTGAACCACTGTCCACTGCGCCGGATTTTCCTCCGCGCCTTGAACCGTAAAAAACCCTCCCCGCCTAACCACCTGAAAATCAGGCAACCACCCTTGACACCCCTTCGCCGGCAGCCTATATCCCCTCCCCCGCGTTGCCGCTGCCCACTTTAGCCGGAAACCACCACCCCGAAACCCTAAAATCCCAAAATCAAAACCCTAGATTTTGATTTTAAGGTTTTTTATTTTATTTTGGGGGACGTGGTGGTTAAGGGGGTAAAGATGGCAAGGGAAAGGGCGATTTGGGTTTGACGGGGGCCGGTGCGGGAAGGGAGGTTTGGACGCCGGCGGTGGGGAGGGGAGGGTTTTTCGAGGGAGAGAAGAAGGGGTTTTTACGATTCGAGAGAAGGTGATTCAGGGGAAGGAAAGGTGGTTCGCCGACAGGTGGGGTGTCGGGGTCTGGGTTGCACCGGCGTCGAGGTTCAAGTGGAATCCGTGCCGACGGGGGGTTGCGCGGACATGGTGATAGCTGGCTGGGCTTTGCTTTGGTGGTGGTTTTTTTTTTTTTTTTTTGATAATTAATTAAATAATTGTTTTAAAATTTGATTAAATTAAAAGGCAGCCAATCATTTGTCGCCACGTGGCAAATTTAGCTTTAACGACTAACAGAGTTAACTGCCGTTAGTCATTAAAGGCATTTCGTAACATTTTTGTGAAACTCAAGTATATATGGTGAATTTGAAAATTTTCATGGGTATTTGGCAAATAAAAAAATAACTCAGAAGTATATGGTGAAAAATCCGAAAAATTTATATAAATGCAAACTACAAGGTTCAATTTAAAAAGAAAATAAAAAAATAAAATAAAATTGCTTAAAGAGTTACTCAATTTTGATTTGACAATGTCAATTTCAATTTTGAAAAGCATCTAATAAAATTTATTAATTGCATGTTTACAACAGTAGCAATAAGGGGCAATGCCTGAGCTATTCTCAAGTTGGATCTTTAGATTGGATTTTGGGTGTTTGGATGCTTGCTCAAATTTGTATGGATAATTAGTTAATCCTCCTAAAATTTGAAACATGATGTATCTTTGACTTATTTAAAGCTTATGGGTCAACCGTCAATGTTTGAGTTTATAAAACCAAACTACAACAATGAATTTGTTATACTAATAATATATTTGTGGAATATAATATCAAATCATATCAAATTTGACTTGATGGCATTTCAAATTGAATTGGATTTAAAATTCTAAAACCGAATTTTAATTCAGATTGAATTGAACTTGGTCAAATCCAAAAAATACTGCACTTTTGACCTACTCTTGATTGGAAAAAATGCCTTTCAAAATCAACTACCAAGCATGGTCGGTGCAATCACTGATATCGATTTACCAACAAAAGGCACTAATTTCCATTCTTGCGAAAGACCACCATTAGTGGGTGGATGACTTTAGAAAAGTCTCCTGACTTTAACTCGTTGAAAGAGAAAGGGGTTCTACAACTCACAATCACACAATTAAAGGTGCAAGCAAAATTATGTGGTAGAAATGATACGAGTATAGGAAAACTGAAGCTCGCTCTTTATAAGGCGAATCATAAAATGTGCTCGTTGAATAGGTGCACTCAGGTGATGTAATGACAATTTAGAGATGTATAGATGGTGAATTCCTTGTCTCCTAAATTCGCGTTAGTTATACTCTTAGGTGCGCCCAATACGTTCTCTTCTACCTATTCAAGCCTACCCATATCTTATTCCGTAGCATAGTTGCACAAGGAAAATAATTTTTCACTCAATAACAATCCTATACACTTAATAACTACACAAAAGTGTGAAATCCATGGCTGACCCTGAGTTGGTAAGCTGTTGATGTTTCAGATTTTAGTCTTCGAGGGTATGACATTATACACTCAGTTTTCAATCTGCTGGAATAGAACACTGAAGCCATTCACCTCTACATTATCTGAAGCAACATAGCAGATTCTGCAAGCACCATGTATTCTTTAAAATCTGGCAGGTTCCTTCTGATTTTCAGAATGTCGGTATCTGCATTCAATTGCATAATAACAAACGCTGTCAATTACTATGCACCAACTTAACCAAAAACATCTGAGTGAATGCAGCAGTAGTACTAGCAATACAAACAAGATCAGCAGAAAGAACCATACTCTTTCCATCCAAAATATGACACATTTTACAACCATTATTGAATCACTTCTATCTTTCTCCCCAAGGCTAAATATATTTATGATCATACTGGGACTTATGACTTTTCAGGAAAGACAACTTTTTTCCAACATCCTATTTAGTCCAAAATGTCAACACAAATTGGTCAAACAAATTGAACAAGCACAAATTTTCTGATGGATAAGAGCAAAGATCAAGTTATTGATTAACTGAAGAAAGCCTAAAACTAGGATTAGCAACAAGACCAAAATAGTTAGCATTGTTAATTATTAAGCATTAATGGTGGATTTGTGGTTATAGAAACTCGAGGGAGAGACAAACCTTGGCACATGATAGTACATACTTTGCAACTGTCTCTTAGACTCACATGCAAGTTCCAGAATGTCTTCCACACAGCAGGACTAATGCTCCAAAACAACAGGTGACAAAGGTTACCTGTCATGGGCTACAGAGTATCAACATACCCAGTCCTATGCCTAGGAGAGGCACTTTGTGCATAACCACACATGTTCATTTAAAAAAGGGAGCAAAAATCCTTTCAGTCAGCAACTAGTGGACTTCGATATGACAGCAAAAACTTTGATGAAAAACTAGGGTACTGTATTATATAATGTTGCAAAAATCCAACTAGGGAATGTCTCCTGCTGTGGACAAGGTCTAAGAAGTACCCAGCTTACCAATAACCTTTTGACCCTAAACCCAACTAAGACCAAGAATTTTAGTTAGTCCCCGATCAACCATTTGGTTCCTTACATTAGAAACATCCAACCAACGATCTGCTGCTGCATAGACATTAGATAACAAAACAAAATTTCCTGCATTATGAGGCTCAAGTTCAACTAGTCGATTGGCTACTACTTCGGCCAGCTCAGTATCACAATGCAATCTACATGCCCCAAGAAGTGCTCCCCAACATTCAGCATGGGCCTCAATTGGTAATGACTTAAGAAGATCATAGGCTGCTCCTAAGTGGCCAGATCGACCTAGAAGATCAATCATGCATGCATAATGGTCAGGCAAGGGGTTAATTGAATATTTACTCATCATATCAAATAAGCAGTAACCTTCCTCTACCAGTGCCGCATGGCTGCAGGCTGTCAGGATGACAGTGAAGGCCACATCATCAGGCGTTATCCCTTCAGAAAGCATGTTATAGAATAAATTAACAGCCTCTGCTCCTTGACCATGAAGAGCATGGCCTTGAATCATGGAGCAGTATGAGACTAAATCCCGTTTAGGCATATTATCAAACAAACTCCTTGCTCTGTCCATGTTACCACATTTAGCATTCATATCTACTAATGCTGCAACAACATGCGTACGTTGGAGATCAAACAAGCTTTGGTTCATGTATGAATCAATCTCATTAGCAAGTTTCAAATTCCCTACTTGAGCACAAGCGGACATTACACTCACCATTATATGTTCATCTGGCCTAGTATTGCTCAACTTCATCGCTAGAAAAGCCTTCACAGCCTCGTAAGGAAGCCCATTCTGTGCATACCCTGATATCAAAGCTGACCATAGGACAAGATCCTTTACTAAGCACTGCTCAAAGAAGAAGTTCGCGGAGGACATGTCGCCGGATTTAGCATACCCATCAATCATCATCGTGTACGAAACCACATTCTTGAAAGGCAATTCATCAAACAGCTTCCTAGCGCTATCTAACTGTCCGAGTTTTACATATCCACTAATCATAGCATTCCACGAAACCTGATTTCTCTTGGGCATTACATCAAACACTCTCCGTGAATCAACCAAATCCTCAGAATTAACATACCCAACAAGCAAACTAGTCCAAGAAACCACATTTCTCACAGACATTTCATCAAACACTTTCTGGGCATCCCCAATTAACCTACATTTCCCATATAAATCAACCAAACTCGAACCCACATACATATCATCCTGAACCCCATATTTAATCAACAACCCATGAATCCCAACCCCAACAAAAGCATCCAATTCATTCGAACAACACTTCATTAATGGCGGGAAAGTGTACTTATCTGGAGCACCTTCAGAAGAAGCTCTCATGGCGGAAAACACAGAAAGAGAAGATGACAAAGAAGAGTAATTACAGTGACCCTTTAACAGGGAGTTCCAAAGACAAGTGTTGGCGCATGATACAGAGTCGAACACACTGGTTGCATAGCGGAGGAGAGAGAAAGATGTACAGCAGCGTGAAACGAAGTTGGAAATCAAGTAATTGTCTTGTTCAAGACCCTTTCGAATGATTTGAACGTGGATTTGCTCGAAGCATCGAAGAGTGTTGCAGGATTTCAAAAGGGTGATTATTGGGGGAGATGATGCAGGTAATTGATGCCTCATTGATTATTCGTATGAATTTGAAATTCGATGGTTTGGGCATTTTCTCAAAGGATGTTTGTCAGTGTAGTTGTTTGAATTCGCTCATTTCTTCTTCTTGTTGTTCTACGAGTCTTCTGTTTGCTCCATGAGGATGAGCAGTATAAACTGAAACTGTCGATGGCTTCAAGGGGTTTTTCGCTGAGAAATTCCAACTTGCAAATTAAAAAGATTTCAAATGGCAAGAGTATAAATAAATACTCCCTCCGTATTTTAGTAATGGCTTCGCTTTTCTTTTACGGTTATATTTTATTACTTAATCTATTTCCTTTTTGAGAAACCTTTCACAATATTTTACTCACTTTGTCCCTTATTTACAAGTCTATTTCTCATTTTTTTTATGGTAATTAAGACAAAAAGAAAAAAAAAAGATAGTTGGTAATTATTGAGGATATGGAGAGAGAAAGTGTTAGAAAATAATGTCAAAAGTACAAAAAAAAAAAAAGGGAAATTTTGCGAAGAACTATCATTTAAATGACGAGTTTTGAGAACAACTACCATTTAAAACTTTTTTTTTGAAAAAACTACCACAAAAACATAAAAAATTTGAATAGCACTACATTGACAACTTTTTCGGCTAGAATCTCCGATTATGGGGGCCACCATTTGGTATTTCCCTCCTAAAAACCCACCTAAAATGACGGATGTGCCCCTAATTTAATCTGTCCTCAACTACCTATCTCCTTATTAATTTCCCGCCTAACTTCCTTCATCCACCCTCATTCACTCTTCTCCCTCTACTCATCTCTGTAATTCAAAGAATATTTCCCCCATTTGACCTTCCATTTCTTTCTCTCTCTTGCAATTTCATTCACAATTTTTGGGGGAATTCCGCAAAAGTATTTTGAAGAAAGGATGAGCTGATTGACATGAGGAATTAGACCTGGATGAAGTCAATTAATTGCTGCATATACATAAACAAATAATGAGTAATGAACCCTAGATTAAATAATACAGAACAATTGCCCCAAATTCCCCAATTTTAGAAACCCCCGGGACAATTTCAATTTTTTTTTACCATTAACCCTAATTTGAAGATTCAATTGAGAAATTAAATTGTATCAATTACAATGCAAAATTAGATATACATTACCTTGAATTGAGTTCATCAAACAATTTTGCTTTTTTTCTTGCCCTAAATTGATTGAAATCAAGAGATTAGGGTTTTAATTTTTTTTAACATAAGCTAAAAGGGGAAAACGAAGATTAGCAGTTATAAATAGATTTACAAAGTATGATATTTGTAAACCCAGTTAATGTCTTGAATGTGATGGTAGTCCCTTATTATAAAACGAAGTTTGAATCTATATTAATATCACTAATTTTTTATCTTGAATATAATATCTTAATTAACTTCATCTTATTTGTACAAAGAAAGACCCATGAATTTGAACTTACCTCTTAGTTCATGTGCTTGTAATTAGAACAAGTTGATGCCAAAGCCAAAATGATGGCTATAAAAAATTCTAAGCTAAATTAATCATAATGCATCTCGTGAATTTTAATTTAATGCTTGTAGTTAATAACTTAATATTAGTGCTTCACGCAATAAGCAAAATCTTATCTTCACTAATTGAAATTATGACACAGATAATTGAGATTAATGATACTGAAATCACAACAATACCATTAAACCCATTTGTACTTGCATTTCAAAGCCTAACATACAGCGTCAAAATATACCCAAAACTAACACATGATTATTGTAGAAATGCTTCAAGAAATGACTCTGAAGAGAAGCTGTTGTTGAATGACATATCAGGGGAAGTAAAAGAGGGGCAAATCATGGCAGTTATGGGTGCTAGTGGGTCTGGAAGATCAACCTTAATTGATGCTTTGGCGGGTCGAATATCGAAGGAAAGATTAAAAGGGTCAGTAACTTTAAATGGCCAACAAGTTTTGAGGTCTAATGCCAACATTTTAAAATCAAAATCAGCTTATGTTATGCAGGATGTTCTGTTATTTCCAGGGTTAACAGTAGAGGAGACTTTTATGTATTCCACAGAGCTTTGCCTGCCAAGAACCTCTCAAAGTCGAAGAAGAGAGCAAGAGTTCAAGGACTAATCAACCAGCTCAGTCTAAGGCAGGCTGCTAAGACCGTGATTGGAGATGTTGAGCATAGAGGAATCTCTGGAGGTGAAAGGAAATGAGTTTCGATTGGCATTGAAATCATTCGCGGCCCAGCTATCTTACTGTTAGATGAACCTACTTCAGGTTTAGACTCGACAAATGCCTTCTTAGTGGCCCGTGTTTTGCAGGGCATTGCTCGAAGGGGGAGCATTGTGATCTTGTCAGTCCATCAGCCTAGTTCTCAGCTTCTAAGCATCATGGATTATCTGATCATTCTTTCTGAAGGACAAACTGTCTGTAATGGTTCACCTTCAGGTATCAAAGAGTTTTTTGCAGCATGTAATCACTCAATTTCAGAAAATGTAAACAAGGTCAAGTTTGCTCTTGATCTCATATCCGAGCTCAAGGATTCTCCTGGTGGTGTCACAAGTTTGGTGGAATTTAACAAATCTTGCCAAAAGAGGAATAACATTAATCATCCAGAGCTTGCCACTGATTTATCAGCCTTGTCTTTCACTGATGCAGTAAATGAAAGGATTTCAGAAGGCAAGTATAACGGTTCCTGAGTTTTCCAATCCAATATGGGTTGAGACCTATGTGCTCGCGAAAAGATCATTGCTCAACTCAAAAAGAATGCCTAAATCATTCAGGTTTCGGTTTGTTGCAGTGATCCTTGCTGGTGCAATGCTAGCTACCATGTTTTGGAGGTTAGATGATTTCCCAAAAGGAGTACAAGAACGACTAGGATTCTTTGTTGCAGCTATAGTCACAACATTCTTCATTTGTGCTGAAGCCATTCCTCATTTTATTCAAGAGAGGTCCGTTTTTATGAGAGAAACTTCAAATAACACTTACAAAAGATCATCCTATGTTCTCTCTAATGTCATCATAGCCCTCCCATCTCTGATCTTGTTCTCCTTCACTTTTTCTGCAATAACCTTTTGGGCTGTCAGATTAGGAGGTGGTCTTTCGGGGTTCCTTTGGTTCTTCGGGTTCTTGTTAGCCTCATTCTGGACAGCACATTCATTTGTGACCTTCCTGTCTACATTGGTACCCCATGTTCTAATGGGGTATGTATTGGTTGTGATCCTCTTGGCTCAGTTTACGCTCTTCAGTGGACTCTTTATAACTCAAAGTCAAATCCCACAGTATTGGATATGGTTTCATTATATGTCGCTGGTAAAGTATCCATATCAAGGGGTTTTACTTAATGAATTCGACAACCCTGTGAAGTGTTTAATTAGCGGTATCCAAATGTTTGATACCACAGCCCTCAAGGATGCTCCGCTTGCTCTGAAGGGCAAGGTGCTGGAGAGCATGAGCGACATTCTAGGCATCAACATGACTAGCTCATGTGTGATGAGAGGTTCTAATATACTACACCAGTTAGACATCACTGACATCAGTAAATTAGATTGCTTCTGGATTACAGTGGCTTGGGGTTTTTTCTTTAGGATCTTATTTTACATAATTTTGTTGTTTGGTAACAAAAACAAGCGGACTTGAGGGAATTTTTTCCCATGGTTAGTTCAACTCCACCAAATTACTGGTCACTATAATCTAATATTGTTGCTGTCGAGTGTTATAGGCCAAACCAAAATTTTCATTCATTTAAGAAATATATAACTAGAGGGGACTGATGAAAATATTAAATAAGACCAAACATTTAGTTCAGACTTCAGAGTATTCTTAGCTGATCAGTATTATAGTTGTGTTACATTCAGAAAGCAAGCTACCGAGATGGCATGTATTACAACTTACAAGAACAAATCAGTTGCTGCACCTAAAATCTACCATAGTCACTGAACATGAGATGCTGAATTTCCCATAATACAAAGTTTACATACAGTCCACATTTTAGTAGTTAGACACATATGGTTCCACTAATCCAGCACATCCATAGCATAAACAATGGGCAAGGGACGATTATTTCATTGGACAGAACAATAGCCTTCTTGCCCTTCGTAATCTTATTATTCAGCATCATCTTCCACAGTATTGACTCGCTCACACTCGTCAATCCACTCACTGTATCTGTAAATACAAAAGTAATGTAAAGATAAAGAGATATAGTAGACAGTAGAACTCACAAGATATTGTGTAAGTCAGACTTACATGTCAACCGGTTCAGTCAGAGCTGCAGACACCAAAAGGAAAGGGACAAAAAATAATATCAGATAAACTCAAATCCTCAGATTATACACAGAATAGTATATGAAAATTGAATCCAAATTTTGCAATGGACAGCAATAACATCAGCTTTAATATGCCAATTTAACAGGCAAAACATCAACCTCGTTTGCCATAGCAGGGAAGGAAAGTGAGGATAGAGAAATAGAGCAAGTAGAGGAAGATTGTGGGTAGATTCCGTGATAAGCAGCAAAACAGGTTTGGTTTTTTTTTTTTTTTCCTTTTGGGTGGACAATCAACTAATCTACCAACATGAGGCCAGATAAAGAATTATTCAAATACCAGTCCCACTAGGTAAAATTTTATTCATTGATCATCAAATCATAATCATCCCAATGACAGGAAAATCTCCCTACTATGGAAAAAGAAATTGGGTTTCATAAAGTAATAATAATAATAAAATAAAAATTAAAAAAAAAAAAAAAACTAACAAACAAACAAACAATTTACAAACCCACTAAGATGTCCAGAATTAATACTAGCTGGAATATGACCTTGTTCATCATTTCAAAATGAACCCAATGACGTGCAAAATTCTCTAATTTAATCAAGGTTGCATGTAATTAAATTATGCAAAGCCAGACAGCATGTACAGCACAATGTATAAAAAAGCTCAAGGCTCACTGAAGCGAGAGGGGTTCTGCAGCGCCTAGGTGCGCCTTTGAAGTGAGGCACACTATATGGCCAGTTAAAAAAAAATTGGCTGAAGTTTGGTTCAGGTGCGCTTCGGGTGCGCCTCTTGCGCGCTTTGTGCGCCTAACCAAAAACGCCTCGCCTGGACCAAGTTAAGCGCATATCCTTTATCACCTTGCGCCTCAGCGCCTAGGCGCGCTTTTTAATACACTGGTAGAGCGAGTTGATGATCGATTAGTAAGGGTCAGAAAAGTACCTGTAATTGAAGTGCTGAAGCTCTCTTGACAGATCCTGCATTGGGCTTCGCCT